AGTCCCCCCCCTCCGTAGAGTGTCCTCCGCCTGTCCAGTCGCAGTCACAGCTACCGCCTGCATCGCCACTTCCTGGTCCTCCTCCCTACACTGGTCCGACAGGCGGTCTTACAGAGCGTCGTTAGCCTGAGTCTCGTCCTGTGTCGCCTGAGTCTTGTCTTGTGTCACCAGTTCGTGCTGCTCGGACTGGTCGCCGTGGTCCGCATGAGCGTCCTTCACCTGTGCCTGGCACACACTTTTATGACTCTGCGTCCTTCCACTACTCCATAGCGTGTCCCTCTGCCGTCTCCTCCTGCGTCCTCTCTTCCTGTCCTTGCTGACCCAGTGTCTGACTCTCTTCGTGCTCCCCGTCCTACTGTCACGCGTCTCCTGGCCACTGCTGTCACTAACCCTTCCTTTGAATCGACTGCTGCGTCTGCCCTAGTTGCTGAGCTTGTCGACTTTGCTTCTCGCTGTCGTCTAGACTACGCTGCCACTCTTGTTGCTGAGTCTGAGTCTGTTTGTCCTCCGTCTGTCGGGGGTGAGTGTGCTCTAGGCACGGACGTCCTTGAGGACAGACAAGAGGACCTTGAGTGTCTTGCAGCCGTTGCGCCCCATCTCGTGTCCATGCTGATTGCCCCTGAGGAAGACCAGGATGCACCAGACATCCCGACTCCTCGGTCGTACGCTGAGGCGATCGAGGGTCCCTACTCCTCACAGTGGCAGTCAGCCATGGACGCAGAGATGGCTTCCTGGAAGTCCACATGCACCTACGTCGACGAGGTTCCCCCACCTGGGGCGAACATCGTCAGTGGCATGTGGATTTTCAGGGTGAAGCGGCCGCCGGGTTCTCCGCCTTTCTTCAAGGCTCGTTACGTTGCTCGAGGCTTCAGTCAGCGAGAGGGAGTAGACTTCTTTTAGACCTTCTCCCCCACCCCAAAGATGACCACTCTTCGGGTACTACTGCACGTTCTTGCTCAGCGTGACTACGAGCTTCACTCTCTTGACTTCAGCACAGCTTTCTTGCAGGGCAGTCTGCACGAGGAGATTTGGCTGCGCCGCCCTCCTGGCTTCACTGGGTCGTTTCCTCCTGGTATCCAGTGGAGCCTCCGGCAGCCGGTCTACGGTCTCCGCCAGGCACCACGTGAGTGGCACGACACACTGAGGACTACTCTTGCGGCACTTGGGTTCGCTCCTTCTACTGCTCACCCGTCACTGTTTCTACGCACCGACACTTCGCTGCCGCCGTTCTACATCCTCGTGTACGTCGACGACTTGGTCTTTGCTACTACTGACACTGAGGCTCTCGCCCACGTGAAGTCGGAGCTGCAGAAGAGACACACGTGCACAGACCTGGGTGAACTTTGCAGCTACCTTGGCTTGCAGATCACCCGGGACAGAGCACGCCGCACCATTACCCTGACTCAGTCACACATGGTGCAGCAGGTCCTTCAGCGCTTCGGCTTCACCTGATCCTCAGCACAGGCCACTCCTCTCGCTGTCGGTCACTCGCTCTCAGCAGAGGAGCAGTGGACGGACACAGAGACATCCAGTGTGTGCCAGGGACAGGAGGAGGACGCTGACGTGAACCAGGTAGAGTCGAGTGGTCCTTACCCAGAGCTAGTTGGTTGCCTCATGTACCTGATGACTTGCACTCGACCTGACCTAGCATACCCTCTTGGCCTTCTGGCTCGCTACGTGGCTCCTGGCAGGCACCGGAAGGTGCACTGGGATGCTGCAAAGAGGGTCTTACGCTACTTGTGCAGTACATCGGGCATGGGGCTCGTGCTTGGAGGAGGGAGCTCAGTTGTTCTCACTGGGCACTCAGACGCTTCTTGGGTTGACGACCAGGCTACTCAGCGGTCGTCACAGGGTTACACCTTCAGCCTTGGCTCTGGCTCAGTTTCATGGCGCTCTACGCTTTCGTCTTCAGTTCTCAGCTCTAGCTGTGAGGCTGAGATCTACGCCACAGCCATGGCTGCATAGGAGTTACGCTGGCTCACCTACCTGCTGACGGACCTGGGAGAGCGGCCTAGTTCTCCTCCAGTGCTGTACGTCGACAACAAGGCTGCCATTGCCTTGTGTGAGGAGCACAGACTGGAGCAAAGAACGAAGCACATCGCTCTCTGTTACTTCCTTGCTCAAGAGCTGCAGAAGCGCGGTCAGCTTTGTCTGCGTTAGGTGGCCTCTCAGGCCAACACTGCTGATATATTCTCCAAGGCACTTCAGCCTGGTGATCATCAGCGCTTCTGCACTTTGCTGGGGCTGGTGCCCACTTTTCCTCACTTGTTGTAGGCTTTACCTGTACTGTGATCTCTATATATATACTCCTGCATGTCTGCTCTGCTAGGTTGAGATCACCCTTGTTGTTTGTGCTGCATATATACTTCTGCATGTGAACTGGCCATGTGGCCCTTTGCTTGTGCTCAGAATGTGTGGTGACGTTGTGATCCACCCTGAGCTTGGTTGCCTCTCTTGACTGGTCTTGTGACCCCTTGCTTTCCCCCACTTTGCCTATGGGGGTGTGTCAAACACTATATGTGTTATTGTTGTGTAGGCTATAGTGGGTTAGCCTTTAGGGGGTACACAAAGCTAGGGTTTGGTGCCAACCGAACACTCGTACCATTTTTCCGAAGGTGCACTGCAGCTATAGTCCAGTTTAGAAGTTGTTTCTGGAAATGCCCAAGCGCCATTTTTGGGGGGGCCGTTAAAAATGCCCATAATGGCGAAAATGGCCATAATGCCTACCGAACTGGGCCCAGTATACGCTTTCGTCACCCGCTGATCGGTTTCAGCGAAAATATGGAGGGCACATCTCAACCACAGCTGCGTAGATATGGTTGTGATTTACGGTAATGTTTGCGTTGCCTTCATTGGCTGAACCATATTTTCAAATTCAAACCATTGGGCTTGCCGCGTTCCAGACTGACACCTTGACGCTGCAATGATGGTGCTTCAGATGACAAGGCAATCGAAGGTCCGTAGGACGCGTCACAATTGCAACACCGATCCTGTGAAATATTGGTGTGCACAATCTACAGTGTCTTCGCCATTTCGTGGAAGCCATGTATCCCGTTTTCGTTTATCCAGTTGCGAAAATCGTGTACCCGCAGATTGTCAAGGTCGGATAGCTCAAACTGCCACATCGATCGTGCGATTTGACAGCGCGGGAATCGAAATCGCGCCACCAGTTCCAGCCACGATCGATCGCCGTCGCATAATGTCGGAAACTTTCGTTCTGGTAACTTCGTACCCTGCGTTTGTCGCCATTAATTGGGCAAGCAGCTTGCTATTTCTAGCTCATCACAAGCCATGCAAAATTGTGCGACTCGCACGGCTCCTGCGCTAGCAGCTGGGTGTACAGTTGCAAACCCGGTCTGTCCCACTTGGCTCGGGGAAGCAGCCAAAACTGCTCCTGCATATTGAAACAAGTTTTTCGCAAGTCGATGCACACATTCTCGGTGTTTGGTGCCGATCTCCCCCGGTGTTGCAATTGTGACGCATCCTTAGGACGCGTCACCTGCCTCGATCGATCCAGCGCAGGATCGATTATTGATTCGGTTAAAAAAAAAGTTTTCAAACAAATTTAAATGCAACACGCGGGATTTTAGTGCGGTGGACGATCGTGGGATTAAAAGTTCAGAGGAGTCCTTAGTCTGACAACGGCATGATGTTCTCTAGAATCTCTACTCAGGTACTTTTGAACACATCCGCATCGAGTCCTCGGTCTTTTTCCCGCGTCGAGTTTTATTGTCTAGTGTATTAATTCGTTTTCGCAAATTCAGGATTCGAAATCGTCATGCGATATTTTCTGACATGACGCCTGCATGGTCGGCATGTGGCAGGTCGTTTTGGAGGCGACATTTCACCCCGATTCGGCTGGACGCGATTTTGGAGAGCCACAGATCGGAGAGCACGACTTTACGAACTCCCAGATCGATGCTCATCCTTGGTCTTGCAGCTCAGGTATTGTCGCAAGCCGCACCTTTCGTGATGTTACATTTAGTCAAAATCGTGAATTCGTTTTCCAATCAGTTTCGCGTGTCATCAGCATCTCAATGTCTGCAAACCTTTGCGGATCCATCTCGTCTCGCGTTGTAGATTCTCGTTCAAATTCGTGACTCATTTGCGTGCGTCAATTTTGCAATTGAATTCCGCAGGTCCATTTCGCGAGTACAGTCCCTTTCGCGAGTGACTTGTCTGAGGCTCGCGGATCAAGGGTGACACATTTCACCCTCAGCAGTGCGTCGGCATCAGATAAGTACCTTCCCATCCCTAAACGCATGTCATGCCTCCCCACCTGTGCTGTTTCTACTTCAAACTTTTCCCACTGGTTGGAGCCCGCTTCACAAGCAACAGACCTTCTACTGCACGTATCCCCCTCGGGTTTAGCCCCCCTCAAGGCTGACAGCCCCTCCAGGTACACCCCTACGCATTTCCCCTCGAGGTCTGTGGCTTGTGCTGGCTGTGCTCCAACTGGTGGCCCCTCCCCTCTCTCCCCGTGCTCCCTGAATCCTCTCACCTGCCATTCGCCCTTCCTCTCCCCCCCCTCCACGCTCTCTCACTGTTGTAGAGGACTCTCCTCTACTTCGCAGGAACTCGGAATTGGTCTAAGCAGTAGAGCACTCTGCTAGCTTTCCAACGAGCCGTAGATCACCTCAATCGCCTAAGTATCGAGCGAGATATCGCCGTTTATGTGCTAGGTAGTGCTCTTAGATTGAAGGATAGGAGCTCTCTGGAATTTGTGTTCGAATGTACCTTGTACAAAGAACTCTGAGTTTCACTATGATAGCATGCAATACAAAGAAAACAGATTCATAGCATGCAAATAAGATTGAATCGCACAAGTAACCTCGAACCGCGGTACACTCGAATGTTCGAGTAACATTTCGAAGGGGTGAAATTCGACTCTCGAATTTCACCGAATCGAATTCTTCCTGAGTCTCGATTCTTCTTGTGCTGCCATGTGGCACCGAAATGCAAGTCCTCCGAAGTCAACCTGCACCTTCACGAAACCTGCAATGAACACATTCGGAAGCAACGCATTCGGTGGGTTGGGGGCATATCAATCGGCCCACCACCACCTTGCTTCCAACACATGCCACCTCCAACACTCACCAGTGCTGCTCGTGTGCACTGCAACGCAGTTGGAGAGGAAGGGCGCGAGGGGGTCAACACCGCTGCTCCCTCACGCGCCTCCCTGCGACTCACGCTGCTTGCTCCTCGTTCCCCCCGCTCTTCTCTCCCGTGCATCTCCAGGAGCAATGGAAGGCGGACGTGGGGCAGCAAGCGAGCACGTGGGTCGCCCTCATGCCTCAAGCACCTGGTGCCAGCAGACAGCAGTAACATCGTCAGCTAAGTGCATCCACCTCGCATCCCACATCACACCCCTTTCCATGCTTCCGCGTTTCCTTCATCCCGTCATCACTGCTGCCACTGCTGGCAGCACACAGTACAACCCACACACCCCGCTCACTCTCAGGTAAAGCCCTCCCCAGGTGATGCCTTCAGGTATAGCCCTCTCTCTCTGCAGGTAGCAATCAGCCCATGGGTCTGTGGCTTGTGACTGTGTGTGCCCCAGTGGCCCTCCTCTTGTTCTTGCTCCATCACTCGTTGCATGCATGCATCCTCTTTCCCACGGCTGCCTCCCTCCCTCTCACTGCCCTTCTAAGCGCACCCTCCCCTCTTCCTCATCCCCCCCCTCCCCTCCCGCCCACCCCCCTTCCCCCCCTTCCTCCCAGCAGTGCTAGAGCCGAGCTACAGTGGGAGGGACACGCCTGCTGCCCGTGCTCCTTCAACTGCCACCTCCTCTGTCGCTTCCAGCTAAGTGCCCCTTCCTCCACGTCATCACTTGTACTTGCCAGTCTGTTCTTGCTCGTGCTTTCGCCTTTCTCCTTGAATCAGTGCCACTGGTTGAGCCCAGCCCATATGCCACAGACCCCCTTACTTCAGGTATTTTTTCAGGTGCAGGTATCCCCCTCAGGTACTGCAGGTTCTCTTGGGGTCTGTGACTTGTGGCCGTGCTTCCATCAGTGGCCCCTCCTATCTTCCTGATATGGCAGCTTCTGGTGTTTCCCTTGTGCTTGTGGCCATTCCATGCGCACTCACTGCTGCTCTGTGTCTGTGCCTTGCTGGTGGAGGGGAGGGGCGTGGGGTCAATGCCGACGCTCCCTCACGCCTCTCCCCTGTGGCCGTGCAGGTGGCAGTGGGGAAGGGAAGAAGGCTGGGAGAGAGACTTGCGACGGGGGAAAGTATCGGGGAGGGGTTGGCCTCTCAAGGTGAGCCCTTTGCCTGCTCTGCTCTTTCCCTCTGCACTTGCTTCCTGCTTTGGATCCCTTGGTTTCCCTCGCATGCTCTCCTCTTTGCATCGCCCATCAGCCCACTGCGCCTCTCTTTTACTTCCCCCCCACAGGACACCAAGCAGATTTAATCCCCCTCAGGTTAAGCCTAACAGACCTAATCTCACTTCACTTTCTTGCTCCCTCCATGCCTTTATGCGTCTGCTTGCTCTTCTCCCCATGCTCACTACTGTCCCCTACACCCTGCGCCCCTCCCACCCCCCCCATCTGAGTGCCTAGTGCAACCGAGGCTGTAGCAGGGAGGCAGGGGGCGGCAGGAGGGAAGCAGGGGGGCAGCAGGAGGGAGAGTATGGGGTGAGACATGGCGTGCACAAACAGCAAGCCCAGCCCACCACAGCTAAGTACCCTCGCTGCCTCCTCCACTCCCAACCCTTGCTTGCACCATGCATCATGCTCTTTCCCTGCTGCGCTTTATCACACTCAAGAGGCCTCCCTCCCCAAGGTAACAGGTACAAATCTCTGGTAAAGCCTCAGGTATTAGATTCAGTGTGGTTCATCTGGTACGAGGTCTCTTGGGTGTGCCACTACAGCAGCAATTCATTCACCCCCTGCACATCGTTCGTTCACTCTCTCCAGTCTTGGCTCTCGCTTTACTCACTCGCCTATGTTTCTTTCCTCATTTCCCTTCCAACTCCTCTGCTCCCCCTTCACACCTCAGTCCACTTCCCCCCCACCTCCGTCCCCTCCTCCCTTCCTCTCTCTGTCCCACTCTGCAACCCTCTCCTCCCAGCTGGTCGCTCACACGGGAGTGGCAGTGGCGGGGGACATGGAGTGCGCAGGCAGCAGCTGCTCTCCACCCAGCCTTCACACAGTCAAGTCCCTACTCTGCTCCTTGTTCTCCTTCTTGAATTCGTTTGCTTTCCATGTTGATCCTTGCTGCGCCTCCTGAACATAGAGTATCCTGGACCAAAGGCATGCCTCTGGTTGAGCCAAGGCTTCAAGCCACAGTCCCCTTTTCTTGGGTACTCCCCCCCTGGTATAGCTGGTAACCTCCCCTTTGGTATAGCTGAGGCAGCATTGCAGTGGACTCAAATGGTGCTGCTATGGAGAGTATCGAGATGGGCTTGGCCCCTCAAGGTGCGTTACCTCACGCCTTAGCTCACCTCTCCCCTTCTCAAGTTCACTTGCTGCAGTAGCTCTCCCTTCATTTCTGCATTCTCGCTTTTTTCCACTCTAGTGCTCATCTGTTTCTATTCACGCCAACTCACCAGTTCCTCCTGCCCCTCCCCTCGTCTCCCTCACCTCCCATTTCTGCCCACTACCAGGTTACTTGGCATCAAGAGAAGACTACAGCAACAGAAGCAGCGAAGCAGAGTAGCAGATCGGCAGCAGCAGAAGCAGCCAAGGCAGCAGCAGTGGGGGCTGGGGGGCTAGAGGGCAGTCTAGGCTAGGTGAAGCTGTCGGGAGGTGTGGTATCAGGTGTGGTACAGTAACAGGTGAGGTGTGGTAACAGGTGAGGTATATGGTATTCTGATCCCCTCCTCTTTCTCTCTTTTCCCCCTCTCCCGTGCAGCCTGAGGGTTGGAGCACTGGAGGGCGGGAGAGTGGAGTCCACCCTCTGACTCACCTCCTGCTCCCTCCCTTCTCCCTTCCCTCCCAGCAGCACCCTGCCTGGACCACAGTGGAGTCTCGCCCTCCCCTAATCCCCCCCTCCCCACTTCCCAGCAGCCTCACCATCATGGCGCTCTGCATGGCTCTGGTAGGTACAGGTACGCAGGCATGGGGGTGAAGTGTGGGGTGGGTGGGGGGAAGCATGAGAGCAAGCAGGGAGTTCACTTCCCGAGGGGCAGCATTCTCAGGACCTGTGCCTTATGGGGTGGGGTGTGGTGGGTGGAATCTCCGCGGCACGGCACTCGGTGCTCAGGTTCCCGATCTGGCGTTTAAAGCTTAATGGACACCGTCAGAGCCGACCGGCCGGCGGCTCTGGTTCGCGTCAGCTCTAGCTACGTCAGGGGCGGGATTTGAGTCTTGGGCTGGAAACGATTATTCACTGCCACACCTCGCCCGACAAAGCACAACTTCTGCGGATGGTGTTTCCGAAAGGGGGTGGGCTGTCTGCTGCTCCTACTGCTGGAATGTGAAGTTGGGGTGCTTGCTTCCCTCTAAACCTTCCCTCAGTTCCCTTCCTCAGTCCCCTCCCTCAGTTCCCTCCCTCAGTTCCCTCCCTCAGTTCCTTCCCTCGGTCTCTTCTTGCCTCCCTTTGTATCCCCCCTCTGTCTCCTCTGATTCCTCCCTCTCTTTCCTCCCTCTGTCGCCTCTCTCTTTTTTCCTCCCTTTGCATCTTCCCTCTGATACCTCGCCCTCTGGTTTCCTACCTCTGCAGAGGAGCAGTAGACGGACGCAAAGACATCCGGTGCGTGCCAGGGACAGGAGGAGGACGCTAACGCGAACCGCGACCACTAGCGCGAGCAGCACGAACAGGCGACGCAGGACGAGACTCAGGCTCACGACGCTCAGTAAGACCTCCAGTAGGACCAGCGTAGGGAGAACGAGCAGGCAAAGGGGAGGCAGGCTGTAGCTGTGACTGTGACGGGACAGGCTGTGGACCCTCTAAGGGAGGAGGAGGACCAGTAGAAGGTGGAAGACCAAGAACCTGCTCCAGGAGTGGAACGAAGTACGGTCAAGGCCGCGTGGCGACGCTAGAAACAGCAGGGACAGCACCAGTACCCCCAGCAGGAGCACCCGCTCCACCAGCACCTCCAGCAGCTCCAGAACCTCCAGCAGCACCAAAAGCACCCCCAGCAGGACCGCCAGTGGTAGTCTCAGCGCCAACACCCTCAGCAGCACCAGCTCCAGTCGAACCTGCAGGCCCAGCAACTCCAGTACTCCCAGTACGAGCACCTCCGGGACCCGCGACAGCAGCACCCTTAGTAGGCGAAGAAACTCCAGCACCAGCAGCACGGCTCCAGCGCCGGGCAAACCACTCGTGCAGCTCCTGTGGAGAGAGTTGCTCCCGGCGAGACGAAGCACCCGGAGAACCTCCAGGCGGAGCACCTCCAGGCTCAGCACCCCCAGGCCCAGCACCCCCGGGCAAAGCACCTATAGGCCCAGCACCCCCAGGCTCAGCACCCCAAGGCTCAGTACCCCCAGGCTCAGCACCCCCAGGCGTAGCACCCCCAGGCTCAGCACCCCCAGGCTCAGCACACCTAGGCTCCGCACCCCCAGGCCCAGCACCCCCAGGCTCAGCACCCCCGGGCTCAGCACCCCCAGGCTCAGCACCCCCAGTCTCAGCACCCCTAGGCTCAGCACCCTCAGCAGCACCAGAGTCACCAGTGACCTCGACAGGCTCGACTGCGTCTACCTGGGACACACCTGAAGGGGCAGGACCCTGAGGGGGGAGGGGCTCTACCGGGGGGGGACCTGGTATAAGGAAGAGCGGGGGCGGGGGGAGGGACGGAGTGCGGTAGGGGAAGAGACGGTAGTAGGGTACCGACTCGTCGAACGTGACGTCCTGGGAGGACAGAACACGGCGAGAGGTGGGGTGGTAGAACTGCCACCCTGGCGCGTCGGGGGGGAACCCCAGGAAGACGCAAGGAGCAGCGCGAGGGGACAGCTTGTCCGCAGACAAGTCGCGGACAAACGCCCGAGATCCCCAGACCCGGAACGCCGACGCATCGCCAACCTTCCCCGTCCACAGCAGGGCTGGGGAGGTCTACGGCCTGGAGACCCGAGGGTGAAGGTTGATCTGATGCGCCGCGTACCTCACCGCAAACGGCCACAGAAAATGGGGGGCAGCCGCATGCATCATAGACGTACGAGCGACGTCCATGACCATGCCAATGCAGCGCTCAGCAATCCCCATTTTGCTGCGGTGAGTCCTGAAGCGTGAAGGTCTGACGGATGCCTCGTGCACGAAAGTAGGCTCGCAGAAGGCCAGAGGAGAACTCTCCGCCTCTGTCCGAGTGCAGACGCAGAACAGGAAAGTCCGAGCCAAAGCTCTGCCTGAGCTGGAGACGAGCTGCGCGGATCCAGTCGATCAGCACCTCAGTGACATCACCCTTGCTGCGCAAGGGGAAGACTGTGGTGTAACGCGAGTAGTCGTCAACAACGAGCAGGAAGTAGCGCTCGTGACCTTGTCCACGGACGCGGGCTGGGCCCCACACGTCCATGTGAAGCGTCTGCAACGGGGCCTCTATCGGAGGAAACTGGGAGGAGTGAGGGGCAGCACGTTGGCGCCCCTCGACACAGGGGACACAGGCAGGGCCAGGGCCTTGAGGAAGGGGAGGGAGGGACCGGGGCAGACAAGACACAAGAAGACGGGAGGCCATGCCTCTGAGCCGAAGCAGAGAGGGGTGACCAAGGCGGTGGTGCCAGAGGAGAGTCTCGTGAGACAGGAGATGACACGAACAGGGGGCAAACTCAGGACCAGACCTGGACGCTGCAGCAAACACCTGACCCGACGCAGCTACCCTACCAGACTCAGCAACGGGAGGAGACGCAGTGGTCAGTGTGTACAGGCTCGACCCCGGCTGACGGGTAAACGTAGCCAGGTGTCGGCCTGTGCTAGCCTCGGTGCAGTGCGTCACCCGCTGGCGCGCAGGAGTGAACTGGTGGACACCCACATCCTGTAGGTCAGCACCACTCACCAGGTTCGTAGAGAACGAGGGGAGGTAGAGACCAGACAGGGTGCCAGAGGGAGCCGCCGGACACGGGAGGACTGTGGAGAAGCGAGAAAGGACAGGGCCCCTAGAGGAGTCAGCCAGAGACACCGCAACCGGCCGACTAAGCGGCGTGAGCGTGGTGCGGTCCCGAAAGAAGGAGCGAGAAGCCCCAGAGTCAAGGGTGAAGGTGAGGGAGGCCGAAGCCGACGTAGTACCTGAGAGCGCAAACTCACCAGTACCTGAGGGCGCAGACGCACTGGCACCTAGAGCACCAGCCTCACCAGCACCTAGAGAAGCAGTACCAATGCCCGGGTCGGGCGGGAAACACCGGTAACAGTCACCCTCATCACTAATAGTCACAGCATACATGGCAGCAAGGATAGCATCAAATTCAAGATCATAGATAGCTACGCCTGCCCTAGACAGCTCTCCCCAGCGGGGGATCTCACTGGCCTCCGGGAACTGCTGACGCCAAGCGTCCGTCAGGCGGCCAAAGCAGCGCTGGGTGGGGTGGGCACCCCCACACTGCTCACTCGCGCGGTCGCCGGTGCGAAGGACGTAGGTGCAGGGACCAAAGCCCCCACCACGCTGACGCTGCCTGTACCACTCACGGAGCTGCTGAGGGCGGGGGATGTCCCGAGAACGCTGCTGCTGCTGCTGCTGCTGCTGCTGGCGCTGACCACCACCAGTGCTGGCGCCACCCCGACCACCTCCACCTCCTCCTCCACCGCCTCCTCCACCTCCGCCACCACCGCCGCCTCCGCTAGGACCGCCGCCGCCTCCGCCGCCTCCGCCTCCACTGCTGCCACCGACACCTCCACCCCCGCCACCACTCCCACCGCCACCCCCACTCCCTCCGCTGCCTCCACCGCCACCCCCACCGCCCCCGCTAGCTCCACTCGCACCCTTGCCCCCCTTGCCATTGCCAGAGCGACGTCTCCCGCCAGGGGCAGACGCCGCACCGACCGACTGAAGACCAACGAGGTTGGCCGCAGCGGCAGAGGCGTCAGAGGGCAAAAGGGGGGAAGGAGAACACCCCTCAAAGATGGGGGTGCGAGGGTCACCATGAGAGGTTCCTACAGCGACGATGCTCTTCTCCGCTGCTAGGAGGGCCTTCTCTAAGAGGTCAACAGTGAGAGTGGTGGGACAGACCGAGAGGAAGTGATCCCTGACTACACGAAGGGAGTCAGGGAGGCGGGTGACTATGTAGTAGAGAGTGATGTACATGGGGGGGGGGGGGGTTCTTGGCGCAGAACTCAGCAGGAAGCGCGGCGCGGTAGCAAGTGTCACTAGTGCGGAGGTGCGTAATGAGGTCAGCGACTGTGGGAAAGGCAGCAAGGTCAGGGAAGAGGAAGGGTAGCATGAGGCGGCTCAGTGCAGCAGTGGCACGGGAAGAGTAGCGCGCAACTACAGCGTCGTACAAGGTCTGAGCACTCTTGTACTGACTAAAGTGGGCGCGCTCAGCGGTAGGCAGGTGGCGACGCACAGCAAGACGTGCAGCACCATCGCGCGTGGCCCACTGGGAGCGAACAGTGGGGTCAGCATCAGCAGCAGGGGCAGGAGAGGCGCCAGAGCTGAGGTCAAAGAGAGAGAGACCGTCTGCCCTATCGCACTGTAAGTACAACTGCAGGTTGTCGACCCAGACCTCAAAGTCAATGGCGCGACCCTCAGCGTCAAAAGCGAGGACACTAGGGGTAGCCATGACAACATTAGATTAGCAGTACCAACTGTAGGACAGGGGCAGTGCAGTGATAGAAGCGCTGTTCTCACCAAACAGGGCGTTTCGGGCAGCTGAGCAGCACAGCAACACGGCAACACTGCTACTCGGACGGCTCAGTAGCAACTGCGGCTCCGCGGTACCAGCGGCTCGGCTCCTCAGGCGGCTCGGGCGGCTCGGCTCCTCAGCGGCTCAGGCGGCTCGGGCGGCTCAGCAGGGTCAGGCAGCTCGGGCGGCTCAGGCGGCTCGGGCGGCTCGGCTCCTCAGCGGCTCAGGCGGCTCGGCTCCTCAGGCGGCTCGAGCGGCTCGGCTCCTCAGCGGCTCAGGCGGCTCGGGCGGCTCGGGCGGAGTGGGCGGTGAAGGGCGGTAGGGCCGCACGGTAGGTGGCGGGGCCGCAGCGGGAGAGGTGGCGGGGCCGCAGAGAAGGGCGGCGGGGCCGCTGAGAAGGGCGGCGGGGCCGCAGCGAGAGAGGCGGCGGGGCCGCGACGAACGGCGGCGGGGCCGCAGTGGGAGAGGCGGCGGGGCCGCAGTGAAGGGCGGCGGGGCCGCAGTGAAGGGCGGCGGGGCCGCAGTGAAGGGCGGCGGGGCCTAATCGACGGGCGGCGGGGCCAAATCGACGGGCGGCGGGCCGTTAGGGCGGCGGGGCCTAATCGACGGGCAGCGAGGCCACTAGGGCGATGGGGCCGCTAGGGCGTTGGGGCCGCTAGGGCGGCTCGACGAAGTGAGAGCCCGGAGCACGACTCAGGCTGAGCGCGCTTCGGGCAGGAAAAAAAAAGGCTCGATGTGGTGGGCCCTAGGCACAGTTCCCACGAGGGAACCTGCTCGATACCATGAGGAAAGTAGAACGAGAATGAATGACTATGGAATGGAAGTGATACAAATTTGCAACCCTAGAAATGTGTACGCCA